ATTAATGAGTCCAGATTTGCTGATGGACATCTTCTGACGTAGTCTTGACTCTCGACAATCCAATAGGAGCAGTTGAGATTGGATATTCAAAAGTCGAAATTACAAGAATCCCTAGTGCTAAAATCCTCTACTCTAAAATCATATGAGAAGTTTCATATTTCAAAAATCAGATATATCATGTTTAAATATTAAATATTAATTTTACAATTTCATTTCAAAACCCTAATCAATTTATTTTCCCCCCATCTCCCTCTCTCTTTTCACAACCTCTCTATCAGCGTCGTACCCATCTCGGCGTCGCACTCACCCCCATAGCACCGGAACCACCACTCATTTAGCGGTGATAGGTGTGACACTTCTCTTCCTCTCCCTTCTTCTCTCTTCCTTAGTCTCTATTATTCTCTCCCTCTCCCCGGTTCCAGAACCACCCTCATTGACGGTGACAAGGCGTAGTCGATTAGTGGTACTCGCTACAGATGGCGCAAGGAAGCGGCGCTGCTCATAGTTCAGTGAAGCGCAGCGAGCGTGACGCTGATTTTGCCCTATCTGCTTCTCTGTCTCAATTTTTTGGGAGTTTTTTTGTTTTTGTTTTTGATTCGATCTATTGTGCGATGGTGCGACAGTGGTGGTAGCGGCGACGGCACGGTGGGATGGCATGGGAGATGCGATCTGGTAGTGGTTGTTGCAAATTGGAGCCAAAGAAGAGAATGGGTGTTTGAAGGTAGTGGCGACAGCAGCAGTGATGTTTGTATGGTGGCGGCTAGCAATAGCGGACCTGGTGGTTGAGGCTGGTGTGGAGTGGTTTTGTGGTTTGAGTTTCTCTGTTGGTGGAGACTAATGAAGTGGCAAGAGATTTTGGGTGCCGATAGCGATGGTAGACAGTGGTGAGCATGATAGTGAAGGTGAGATGTTGGTGGACGTGCACTGTCGAGGTAGATGTGTCAATTTGTTTGAGATAGTGGTGTTGCTGTCAGGTGGTGGCGGTTCTGGTGATGGCGGTGGTTGTTGCAAGTGTTGGTGGGGTCATAGATTACTTGGTTTATTGTGACCTTTAAATTGGTTAATCTGTGATCAATAAACAATATGTGACTAACAAAAAAGATAAATTGTGACCAAGATATAATGTGTGATCTAAAAATTAATAATTCGTGATCTACTAATAAGTTGTGATATATAATATTTGTGATTTGTGACTCATAAATAAATTGTGACGTATAAATTTTTGATCTGTGATCGATGAACAAATTGTGATATGCAAAATTTTTGAATTGTGACCATAAAATAATTTATAATATTAAAAAATTTGATTTGTAATTGAATATAATACTTGGCTACTTAAATTGTAAATATGTGATCTCAATATATTTAATTAATAAAATATATAATTAAATTATAAATAAATTTTAATAAATATCTGATTTTTGAAATTTGAAACTTTTATTCTCTTACTTATGAAAATTTCCCTTACATAAACCCAAGTACTTAAACTTTCAAATTCAAAATTCAAGGATAAAATTTATTTATGCAAAAATTAGGTATTATATATAATTAATCCACCCAATTAAAAACTCTAATAATTTTCCCAATTCAATCCCGTCTCCTTCTTCTCACTCTATAGACTCTCCCTTCTCTCTATAACAATTCTAAAATCGTCATAGGAGATTCATCACCTACGACGTTGCGACGTCGCCACTGTGGCAACGACACTCTGAAGACTGATTCCAATGTGAGACCGGCACTGCTGCAAAGGGCGCGACACCTTCTTTTCTTGGACTCGCGAATGTGAGTGCCGATTTGATTTTCAGCAGCGGTGGCCTTGTCCATTGCCGTTGGAGATGGTGGCACTGTAAACTCTGCTACCCTTTTTTTTTTTTTTTTTAAGTTGTGGACCTTGTGGTTGTGGTGGTTTTTGTTGGTAGTTGGCGATGTTTTCCAAAGTCGTGATATTGGTGGTGTTTTTTTAGTTGTTGAAGCGGTAGTGATGGTTGTGTTTTGATTGTATCAGTGGAATTAGGTGATTATTGTTGGTAGTGGAATTGGCGATGGTGGTAGTGTCGACGGCGAGATGGTCGGCGGTGGTGACGGGGTAAGGATGGTGGAAAGTGGCGGTGGCAGCAGTGGAGGTGGTGGTGGTATGTAATGTGACCAATTATTTACCTTGTGACTGACTATTTGTTTACCCGTGATCTATAATTTTTTTCATCTGTAACCAATTAAATAAACTATGACCTATAAAATTTTTGATTTGTGATCTCGAAATAAATCAAGACCAATTAATTTGATAATACGTGACCAATAAATAAGTTTGTGACTTATGAACCTGTGACAATTAACGGCATAAATATGACCTTATTATTTTCACTTAATAAAATATATTTAATTATAAAATAAAAACCTGATTTTTGCATTTTCTAAACTTTGGACATGAGAATTGAATTGTCAATACTAAATATCTTAATTGTGAAATTTTCCCTATTCAAAATAAGTAAAATAATGATAAGTTGTGGATTTCGAAAGAAAAAGCATAATGAATTAAAGGGGGAAAATGGTGAAGTTGAGAACAAGAAGTGATACGTGACAAGATTCACGTTTCTAAAGCAAAATATGTTGAGAAATGTAGAAAGAAAAGAAAATTATATTAAACTTTTCGTGTGGCTATAATTGATGAGGATATAAATTATATGAAATAGTTATACCTTTGCACTTTGCACCGGATAGAATATAGAGTTTATTTCGTCTATTTTTCCAAAATCAATAGTTTCCTAATTTGGTTTATTGTTAACATATTATTTTCCATTTTTTGTTCTTTTAAAGTAATCTTATGATCTTATAGGAGGATGCCAGTCTTTTGAAATACTTGGATGATATGCACATTAGTTTGGTCTTATTTAAACATCAATAAATCAAAGACTCGTTTAATGTTGAGTGATGCTCATCAATACTCTGTGAACTTGGTTGGTGGTCGAACATATGATTGCTAGGCTGCATTTGATACGTTGGTATTGTATTAGGATAGATAGTATTAAGGTGATTATGTCCTTGTTTAATTCCCATTATTTTCAAAATACAATTATTTCTCTCTCTCTTTTAACCATGCATTTTTCAATAAAATAATATTATGCACAATTTTTTTTTTAATTTTTAACAAAATGTTCTCCATTAATTTACTATTCCAAAATCCATTCTTAAAAAGAAAAAAATGAAACTCAAACATGCTCTAATATCAGGGTGAATACTATTATGATAGTGACGTATGACGTAACAAAACAATTATGGGAGACAGAGAAAAGGTAGTGATAGCAATTTACCTTGCCCGGCCCACCTCGAATGGGGCAAAAAAACCCGCCCTGTCAGGGGGCGTTCCCCGCCACGAACTCGTCCTGTGAAACTTTTCTTTTATTATTATTTCTTATTTTTTATAATAAAGGTTAGGTTTTTACTTGGTAAAATGAACGGGAAGCAGAGTTGAGTTTTTCATACCAAACGTGAGCATTCTTTTTAGCTTCCATCCTTTCGTTTATGTGTTTACACTAGTAACCCAGAGATTGAAGTCGGCTTTGAAGTAGGAAATGGAGTAAATTTAATTTTTGAAGTACAAATTACTCATTAGAACTAGGTCAAATATTGTTCATTTGTATGGTAAAATTATCCACGTAAAACTAGCGCTTTACCCATTTATTTATGTTTTTTTTTTACTTGTATTGTAAGTTCAAGTACATTTCAATAAGGAAAAATTTCAAATATAAGAAATTAAGGATGATCCATTTTAAAATTAAGAAATAAGATCTACAACTTCAAAAATCAAATATTAATTAAATTTTTTCTTTTATACATTAAACCCTACGAAGCTGCAATCGAACTCGGAATTATATATAAATAAATAAATAAATAAAATAAAATAATAATAATAATAATAATAATAAAAGAAACGGAGCAAGTCCACTGCCCCGCCCAATTGCCATCACTAAAAAAAGGAAGAGAAAAGGAAAGACAGGACTAAGAGAGAAGAGGGAGAGAGAAATTGAGAAATTGAGAGAGAATATATATTTATTCATTTTTAAAATTTGTTTTACTACAATGTAAAAACCCTTTAAATTGGGTTCTATTATATCCTATTTTGAGTAGGAAATCTATAAGAAAAGTCATTAAATCAAACCCTAATCAAAATTGGAAACTGAATAACTAATATCTTTCATAATATTCCATCCTATAGAATAAAGTGTACAATTACTAAATTGTGTTTGGAGTGACAGACACTAGAAAGACGTTTATGTATTCTTAAAATAAAAATTTCGTAAAAATGTTTTTATTTTTATTTTTTTGCTACGCTTCTAAAAGCTTCCTCCTTTTTTTCCTTTCCTGAAATCCAGCAACTTCTTATCTATAAATATTTTTAGATAGCTTACTTTTCTACTACTTTTTACAAGTAATTTTTATGTTCATTTTGTGGGTGGACTGAGTCTATAAAAGCAACCGACTCAAAATAGTCTCTACATCGTTTTGGGAAACACCAAGTGTACATCACTTTTTGTATGCTATTTTTCACAGCTTTCTCACAAGGATGGGGCCCACGATTAAAATAATCGCGGCATGAAGCTGGACATAAAAAAACAAGTAAATAAAGGTAAAACACCTAGAAAACCAAAGACCCCAAAAAAAGCCACCCATTGTATGTGAGAGGACCATAAACAAAGCTGTCAAAATTACTATGCAGCAGAGCAGTTCAGAGGCAATATAATTGTAGCACTTCTCCATTGTTTTTCATCTTGCTAGCAACGTTGACTATGCAGCAGAGCAGTTCAGAGGCAATATAATTGTAGCACTTCTCCATTGTTTTTCATCTTGCTAGCAACGTTGACTTTTACTATGCAGCAGAGCAGTTCTGAGGCAATATAACCCGACATAACACACATAAATGCTACAATCTAGTCCAGTTTTTTAGGAAACAATTAGTCGAGACAGTTAAAACTGAGACGAGAATTACCAATTAGAAGAAGAAGAAAATGAAGCCGAAATCCATTTCTGAGCTTTTAGAATGCGGTAAAACAAAAGCATCCAAAAGTCACATCATCTATCCATGAGAGGAAACATTTCTTAACAAGCCATTGAGCATAAAAATTCCTTAGCCAAAGTGGAAAATATACTGATTAAATCATGGAAAATCCCACTAGTAGGAGAAATGAAGGGGCTAAAGTGAAAGAATATTCCCGGGCGATAATAGCCTTCCAATGTATAGCAGCAAATGTCCATATCGTCATCTGTTGCTTCTATTGAGATTCCACGAGAACAAATAATGGCTTCCCTTTCAATCGATCCCTTCCCTACAACATTCAGAAGAGTCGAGAGACAGAAACAAGAGAAATTAATCTAGAATGAAATCGTTGTAAACAGAAATGACACATGAAAATATATGCTTCAATTGATGAGCATGCAGAAGCTTATTGCCCCTTAAGTGACTAGATCCTAAAGAATTTGGTCTAATATTTCACATATAGGTTGAGTCGAATTTTCTAGACAAAAAGTGGGTAGCTAGAATTTCAAAGAAAGCTGAGAAATGAAATCCGGAGATTGAAGTAAAGAAGACTAAAAACTTAATCTGTTCTATTAAAACGTCCATTCTAACGAATACAACACGAGCTTTATCATTTTACATAACATTTTATGATTATAATCAATATTAGGACAAAGATATAAACCGGAACTGATTACAAATATATACTAATCCTGGTTAACGTTCTATGGGATATGACAGGAGGGAGTTTAAAGTCATCCACATATTACATCAAAAACTAAGATTTAACATTGCTTTGTAAATAAACATTAATTTATGATCGTGTGATGAAAGTCACTAATCTTTAGCACTCATTAGTTAACAAAGAGTGCTAAATCACAAGGAAGTTTGCATCAAAATGATTTGTTTACTTCCCTGTCTACACATTATAGTTGCATTAAATCCAATGCATCATCATTTTCGAGTGTAATGCTACTTGTACATAATTGTTTATATCTCTTTACATAATAATGATATGCAAAATTGAGTGACTTTTTTCTCTTTCCTTCTCTCTCTCTCTAAACCATGTTTGAAACTTGTTTTATTTCTCTCTAGTTCAAAATCATCTTTTCCTTTCTTCTTCCAAAATAGGTCTTCCAAATCACCTAAAGCTTCATCACAAACCCCCAGAATTCTAGCTGTATAAAAAGAAATTAGGAAAACCTCGTCTTCAACAATATCGATTCACGGGTAAATTATTTTTAAGTTTATTTTATGATATTTTTAAGTTGATATTCTACTGTATTCTTTTTCTTTACATTTCTGTTGATGTGCCAGTGTATATCAGTTATCTTAGCTTTTTTTATTAACATATTCTGTATATATTTGCAGTTCTTTAATACTTTTGCTTCAAAAAAAGCCTTAACTCAGGCCAGAAATATTGTGTTTATTGCTTTTGTTTATTAATTTTGTGTAATTCTGTTAGTATATGCTGCAATCCTTTCTCTTAAATAATTGATACCAATGATTCTTGTGAGAATGGTTGCTACCAGTTCATGACATTTGAACATATCCATGAACTCTCTCTACATAGCTAGAATTTTGGCTATTTGGAATGAAGACTTTAGGCGATTTGGAAAATTTGGAAGATCAATTTTGGAAGAAAGGAAACAATGATTTCGAAAGAGAGAGAAATAAAAGAAGTTTCAAACACTCATGGAAGAGAGAGAAGAGAAAAGGTCTAGTCAATTTTGCCACGTCATCATTATGTAAAGAAATCTGTAAACAATTATATAAAAGTAGCATTGCTCCATTCTACAATTGAACTTGATTAGAAAACAATCCAATGAGAACTTAGCCACTAACAGAACCTTATTTGGTGAAAAAATGGAATGAAAGAATAAAAGAAAGCCAACTTCGAGTCCTTTTCGCAACCATGTGTTGGAAGGTCATGTGATGAGGTCATCTAAATGTACTAGCCCCCACCATATTTCATAAATAACAAAATCCACATAAATAAAAAGTACTCAACATCAACAGACAAAAGAATATAAATGAAATAGACGATCGCATAAAAAGAAACATAGACAAAATTCTTGTTGTGATGGTCAAACACTAAAAATTTGAAAAACGACCAACTTAAAGTCATTTTTTCTCAAGGGGATTAGGGAATTCAGAAAATAAATTGGTAAAGCATACCTTTAGATCTGGTATTTCAATGACACAAGCACACTCTACAACTTCAGCTCCGGCACGTTCTGAGAAGCAACAATTTCAAGTCAGGCCAGCAACATGTACATTGTTCTTGATAAAAAAGAAGACAAATAAATAAAAATGTAACTCTTTAAATAGTTTGAAAAGAGTCCCACAGTAATGAAGATATGAAGAACTAATAACCCATAACCAATTTCGAATGTAGCTCACAACATATACTAAGAAAAACCGTGTTTATGTAAAAGAACATTTCATAGAAGTATCAGTTTCTATTAAAATAAAAAAAATAAAAAATAAAGATTATGGAAAGCCTGCATAATATAGCTATTAATGAAGAGTACTGAGTACCCAATAAGTTCATGGCAGCACAGAGAGTGCCACCAGTAGCAATCAGATCATCAACAACCAATGCACACTCCCCAGATTCTACTGCTCCAACATGCATCTCAAGACAGTCGCTTCCATATTCCAAGTCGTACTCTTCCCTGAAAACTTTACCTGTGATTAAATGAATTTACAATAAGATAGCAACACTAATAGGAAAAGAATAGGAACGTTGCATGAAGTTTTTGTCAATTAAGAGTAGGGTGAAATAGTTTTAACTTCAAAAGTTGAGAATTTAACTGGCAATATGCATGAGTAGATGACAAGTTAACACCAAAAAATGGATAAAAAGAATAATCCCAACAAAAATTAGAATCCATGCATCAGAAAAGTATGAGTTAACAAGCAGCTTCAATAAATCACAGAGCCAAATGCGTTGAGCTAGAATAAAAATGATGGCCTCAAAAATGGTAATAAATCAATTGAATGAAAAATGGAAGCAATGTCGAAAGTACATGATGGGCAAAAAATCCCCTGTTTGGCAATGATTAAAATCAAGATTTTTGTCAAATTCAATAATTAATTTACGCACAACTTTTCAACCACACATTCCATCAACTTTTATCAAAATCTATTAAAATTTGATTTTAATCTCCACCAAACAAGGGCAATGTGGTTGGCCCGAAGCAAAGCTTAAGGAACATGCTTGTTGCATATGATGGTTTAAAAAATCTTGGATCTAAATTAACACAATTGAGAATGACAGGATTCCAATCAGTAGATAATGAGAAAACACTATGGTTCACCTGAAAAAGATTTAAAGCAATAGATATTCAAAAGTATAAGATAAAAATGCTGAGATTTTTGCCTAATTAATTGAATAACACAGGTAAACAAACAAATAATCCCGCTTTTCAGATAAAAAAAAGGTTTCCAACAACAAATGTAAATTAGGAACACACTATAAGGAGAGAGTACCAGGAAGTTTCTTTGGCTTTCTCAAGGGAACAAACTTCGCTCCAATTGCCAACGCAATGGGAGGGCCAAATATAAAGCCCCGGGCCTCTATCCCTGAGTGGGAGAAAGGAAAACAAATGTGAGAACTTGATATTACATGATAATTTTTAACTTGACTAGTAATTCTTCATAAAATCTCTGTGACGAGTAGTTGGCCAGAAATATATAAATACCACGTTGTATGAAACATACCCACACTTCACACCTGTTTCTAAGTCCAAGAACATAGCTTGAAGCTTAAAATATGAAGATAGACTTACTAGAGATAAGACTCCCCATTCTTATGGTATAACTTGTACAAAAATTGCTATACTAAGAAAAACCGTGTTTATGTAAAAGAACATTTCATAGAAGTATCAGTTTCTATTAAAATAAAAAAAAAAATAAAAAAATAAAGATTATGGAAAGCCTGCATAATATAGATATTAATGAAGAGTACTGAGTACCCAATAAGTTCATGGCAGCACAGAGAGTGCCACCAGTAGCAATCAGATCATCAACAACCAATGCACACTCCCCAGATTCTACTGCTCCAACATGCATCTCAAGACAGTCGCTTCCATATTCCAAGTCGTACTCTTCCCTGAAAACTTTACCTGTGATTAAATGAATTTACAATAAGATAGCAACACTAATAGGAAAAGAATAGGAACGTTGCATGAAGTTTTTGTCAATTAAGAGTAGGGTGAAATAGTTTTAACTTCAAAAGTTGAGAATTTAACTGGCAATATGCATGAGTAGATGACAAGTTAACACCAAAAAATGGATAAAAAGAATAATCCCAACAAAAATTGGAATCCATGCATCAGAAAAGTATGAGTTAACAAGCAGCTTCAATAAATCACAGAGCCAAATGCGTTGAGCTAGAATAAAAATGATGGCTTCAAAAATGGTAATAAATCAATTGAATGAAAAATGGAAGCAATGTCGAAAGTACATGATGGGCAAAAAATCCCCTGTTTGGCAATGATTAAAATCAAGATTTTTGTCAAATTCAATAATTAATTTACGCACAACTTTTCAACCACACATTCCATCAACTTTTATCAAAATCTATTAAAATTTGATTTTAATCTCCACCAAACAAGGGCAATGTGGTTGGCCCGAAGCAAAGCTTAAGGAACATGCTTGTTGCATATGATGGTTTAAAAAATCTTGGATCTAAATTAACACAATTGAGAATGACAGGATTCCAATCAGTAGATAATGAGAAAACACTATGGTTCACCTGAAAAAGATTTAAAGCAATAGATATTCAAAAGTATAAGATAAAAATGCTGAGATTTTTGCCTAATTAATTGAATAACACAGGTAAACAAACAAATAATCCCGCTTTTCAGATAAAAAAAAGGTTTCCAACAACAAATGTAAATTAGGAACACACTATAAGGAGAGAGTACCAGGAAGTTTCTTTGGCTTTCTCAAGGGAACAAACTTCGCTCCAATTGCCAACGCAATGGGAGGGCCAAATATAAAGCCCCGGGCCTCTATCCCTGAGTGGGAGAAAGGAAAACAAATGTGAGAACTTGATATTACATGATAATTTTTAACTTGACTAGTAATTCTTCATAAAATCTCTGTGACGAGTAGTTGGCCAGAAATATATAAATACCACGTTGTATGAAACATACCCACACTTCACACCTGTTTCTAAGTCCAAGAACATAGCTTGAAGCTTAAAATATGAAGATAGACTTACTAGAGATAAGACTCCCCATTCTTATGGTATAACTTGTACAAAAATTGCATGGAACCCTCGGACAAGGGAGCATTTGTTATGATAGACCAAAAAGAAACTTGAAGACAGAGATGGGAAAAATGCTCCAAAACTGAGAATGTAACAATAAGCAACACAATTACATATATTACTAGGTTAGAGACTTTAACATTAACTTCTTAGAAGGTGACTTTACACCATTTCATCATGCAGTTGAAAGCCCTTATACATTCTAAGACAAAAATGAACGAGCATAATTAAGACAACAACAGTCTTCAAATGAATACAAACTGCAGAACATACATTTTCCTCTGAAGTAAAACAGGGAATATATTACTAAAATGGCACCAAAGTCTTGTATCTTACAGATATCTGACTCGTCTCATGAATCTATTTTATATTCTTAAAAGAATGAAACAATCATTTAAAAAAAAGGGGGGCATGCAAGTTTATGGTTCTGCCTCATAGGATGGTGAATGAAATAACATAAATATATAAAACTGATGCTAGGACATCTATCTTATGGAAACCACCACTTCTCTTAAATGATTGCATGTTGTCATGTCACCAGTGCTATATATATAATAATAAGGAAAAATAACCATTATTAACAGTAAGCTGAAATGCAGAGGGGGAAAAGAAAATTTGATCAGTACAATTAACTTATAATGGATTATAAATTTTGTTTATTTTCTAGCGCTCTTTTGCTTTTCTTGCAATTATTCGTTATTGTAGGACTCGAAGTTCAGTGATTCACTTCAATACCACAAATTGAGCCTAAATAAATGGTAAAGGTGAACACAGGAAATACAATAGTCACTGTCACTTTCACAAAATTTGCCATATTGAAGTTTCATCAATGATCAAACTATACGATAACTTAATGAAAGAAATAGCAGTGGAAAGAGACAAAGAAGATACAAATTATAGTGGAGTCTGGACCTCCATAAACAATCTTTCCAACAATAATAGACCATCATTGCTCAATAGAAAAACCATTAACAGAGTCATAATTCACCATCATCATAACATATAATAAGGTTTCTCTGTTCTTCCCATAAGTTGAGAGGCTCAAAATCAATACTTTGAACAGTGAATTGTCCAAACCCGGATTAAAATCTGACAAAATAATTAGGAAAAGGAAAAAAAAATTGAACCCATCATTCTGGCCCACATCCCTTCACCCTTATTTCAACAATGCGGATTGTGAGCATCTACCACCAACGTTTAACTGTGAAGCGCTGATATTCAATAACACGCCCCAGTTTGAAAAATCACTTTTAAACAATTAATCCCTTAAAAATTCAACCCAGAAATTAGTTGTTTCTAGAGTATTGTATTCTCCTTCAAAACAATATGAAGATACTTAGTCTTCCAGATTAAACAAAATTTACAGTCCACGACACATCCACTTAGCCTCTCACTAAAAATAAAAATAATAATAATAATAAATAATAAAAAAAAAACAAACAATCATGTAAAATAAGAGTGATACATGAATACAAGTAATAAAAATAATAATAGAATAAAGTGCGAAAATACACATTAAACGGGACCACTTTCGTAGTATAATACAGCAAGGCAAAATGAAGAAAATGTACCGGCGACAATAGTAATGTTTTTGCTTTTGTATCTCTCAACGAACAAATCAATGGTGTCCTTGAAGGCCTTTGGATCGAGTAAAAGTGTAGTAATATCTTGAAACATTATCCCTGTTCAAAACCCATAAACAAAACTGTACATTTACATGTAGCTATAAATATAAACAAGTGCACACAGTGTGCTCATGTGTGTACCTGGTTTTGGGAAATTTGGTACGACCCGGATTCTCGATTGAATGCCATCAATACGTGGATCATCCTCTTTGCAAGCTGACATTATGCTGTAACAAGAACACAAAAAAATTTCTTCGGCCTTGTAATTTAATCTTCCTCCGAATAAAAATGAGGGAACTGAAGGAGAGCGACAAGGAAGAGAGGTATAGGAGTAGTTATAGGAAGAGTGAGCAGTGAATGAGTATTTGATTCTGTGTGTGTGTGTAAGAGAGAGAGAGAGAGAGAGAGAGAGAGAGAGAGAGAGAGGAGGGAGGTGTTTGGGCCTTGGCGCTCTGCACAAGAAAGAGGCAAAATCACCTCAGATAAGCAAGAGGATCATCTAAATCATAACGTTTATTTGTTTCTTTTGCACGATTGAAGTGTTTGTTTCTTATTCAAAAGTTCATTTTTCTTAAATTTATTATTTTCAATCACCCCTTACTTAGAGGGTATTTGGTAGGAATTATAAGAATTGATTTTTTGGCCGTTAGATATAAAAATGAATCTTACCTATCAGAGAAGAATTAAAAAATAACGACTGAAAAAATAAAATAACGGTCAAAAAGTTAATTTTAATTGGCTTAAAATCCCCACCAAACACAATCTTCATAAAATGATTTCATATGTGAATTTATAAATTTTTGATACTTTTAATTATACATTCTCCAAAAAATTTATTTCACTTCAAATAATTTCACCTTTTTGAACCCTCAATTTTTCGTGAAAAATGTATTTTGGAATAACATTTTGATGGAAAAAAGAGTCCTATCCCTACTGATAATAGTAATTAATGAGAAGGGGAGTTGCCCCCAGGGCATATCTCCGAGTGGCAAAGGGGAGCGCGGATAGGGCTCAGCGCGGCAGTGTGCAGAGTTCGATTCCCCGCAAGATGGAATTGACTTTGTTGCAAGCGGGAGTTACCATATGGGTTAACAGCCTTGGCCTATCCATGTGCTCTCCACCCTGGCTCCTGGGAGGCACATTCTGCGATTTACCTTCTCCACGATGGCTCAGGACAGGGTCGGTGGGGGCCCTTAAGGTTGGGGTTCAACCTTTTTTTTTTTTTTTTTTTTAATGAGAAGGGGAGTTTCTGCCCAGTATTTAGGTGGCTTCTTTTATTGTAAATTGATGAATCTATTTGGTCCATTGTAAAAGTACAATGAGAGATATTTGGCTAAAGTCTAAAATTAAGTCAAACGATCTTTTAAATATATTATTATTTTAATATGCATATTCAGATAATTTATTTCTTCTACTTAAGTGCTAAATTACGCAAAATATTTTGATATATTTTATGTAAATCTATTTTTGGGGTCTTTATGTGATTGATATAAAATTGGTAATATTAAATGATGTGATTTAAAGGAATCAACGATGAACATAAAATATATCAATAAATTAGGCGAGCTAAATTGGACCTTCCACCCACTTTACATGTTATTGGCCGTTTGGCAACTAACAAAATTTAGTTAATATAATTTAATCCCTTTATATTCACTTGTACTTCAATGATGATAACATATTCGATTTCTCTACAAATTTGTGTTCCCTTAAGGCGTCTCATTCCTCTTGAATGAACCTTCAATTGATTAACCCATAATCAACCTTCGAGGGCTCCACCCTTCATGATTGAAGGAATCTTAATCGGAGTCAAACCTCTTGTATCAACATGACCACAAAGCACTTACTGCATGAAGGCGTCGTGTTTAGTCCATTGGACTCTCACCGTCAAATCCAAGATGTGATCACTATTTATCACTCCTAGTAAGTGTTGTGTGCGCGCTTAACCGCAAGTGTGAAGTGCGTATGAAATTAGGACGATTTTGAAATATTCCACATGTAAATTGCATACACAATCGACACAACATAGTATGCCAATATCGCTACTCTAGTGAATTGTCCGGCGAACTAATTCAGTGATTAGCAGCTGGTGTCTTTTAACGCAATTTTTCCAACGCTTCTTGCAAGTCTTGTTCATCAATAATGAAGGGCATGGACTGCCCTAAGTACAAATGTATGTTATGACTTTCACATTGAGCTCAATAGTCTCGATATCAGATTTCTTGGTATATGCATAACTTAATTGTGGCCTTGGAGAACTAATAATTATTTTAAAGTTTCAAAAAGCTCATAATTTACTTAATATTTATGAGAGTAATGTTTTATAGTCTCACTCGACTGCAACCACAATTTAAGTGGCACTAGATATTAGGTTAAATGAAATGTGAAATTAAATGAGTTATTTAATTCTTCCTTTCAATTAATGCAACATTAGCGCAACCTAAAATGGGGTTACAACTCTAGTGGAGTTAAATAGCATTACTCTATTTACGATGGGTACGATCATCTCCTCATAATAATAATAATAATAATAATAATAATAATAATAATAATAATAGTAGTAGTAGCCCCTCCGGGCACATCCCAACTGGCAAAAATGAGGGCGTTTCGAGGCTGGCAGATCAGAGGTCGTGAGTTCGATTCCTAGAAGGCTCTTGGAAGACAGATATTCTCTTGGAAGGCAGAATTTATCCTGGAAGGCAGGAGCTCTACTGGAAGGCAATGTGCAAAGATGGGAAATACGACTTGCTTGGCACTTTGGCAGATCAGTTGGGGGGCTCTTGAGCACTGGTCAGTTTGGTGCACAACCTGCGGTTTAACCAATTTGCGGCTTGAGGGGCCAAGGTGTAGACTCCAGGATTTAGTCACTGTACGGTGGATATCTGGATATCAAAAAATAATAATAATAATAATAGTAGTAGTAGGTTCACTGGCATTCAAAAACATGTCATCTAATATACAATATAATAATAATAATAATAATAATAATAATAATAATAATAATAATAATAATAAAATAAAATTACAACAAAATGTGTACATGGAAAGTCCTGCATGTACTAGTATGTTTCCTAAATTTATTAATTTGTAGCACTAAAAAAACACAAATACTTGTAGCAAAATCTATAACCATGTCCATTTTTATATTTGTTAATGATTGGTTATGTCCATATGTTTTTGGACAATATTATTACTCTATATTCTGTCATTATAAATTACATGATAAGACCCAAACCTAAGTTGTTTCGTTGTGCAAATATTGATTAAATTACGTCACGTGAATAACTTTTATTTTGTATAAGTACAATATTTATTTGACCATACAACATTGTTAATTAGAGGTTTATAAATGTCGAAAGATGTGAGAAATACAACGACTAGGAAGAGTAAAAACAAGAAAACAAAATATGCGATGCAAACAAAAATGAGAAAATAATTTAAACCCCTCAGAGCCAAAAAGAATTTCACAATTATTATTTTAACAGTTTTTATTTTGTCCCAACTGTTGTATTTATGCATTTGCTTTTGCATCTTTCAATTAAGGCGGAAAGGTACAAACTGCATAATAAATTAAAGAAAATTAATTGTGATCACAAATAAGATTTTGATCTTGTCATTGTCTAAAGAGGTGAAACATAGGTCCATGAAAACGTGATTTTGTTTTAAAACACAGTGATGGATATCTAATCAAGAGGGGTTGAGTTTACCTAGTTCTGTTAATGAAATGATTAATGAGAGTTAAAAAGTTGAGAAATAATAATGAGCGGGTAATGAATTTGTATTCATGGCTCGAACAATTCGAGACGTTACAAGATAGTAAAAATTGGTAATTCGTGTTCTTTTAGACA